TACACAGCAAATTAATATAGAATCTTCTAATTACTCTCTTCTGTGTAACTGAGGCATTTTCTAGGGCCTCTTCTAATTCAGACACTCTGCACTTCCCACTCCGAAGCAGAAAAGAAAAGCCAAATGCACAACTGAGCTTCTTCCATATTCTAAAACAGTAGCAAACCCACCCCGAGTGCCGTTCTCTCAAACCTGGGCCACCACGTCCAGCATGCATGTTGTGCCCTGCACAAGGAGGACTTGCAAAGGGGGTAAATGGAGGCTGAAATCCAGCCCCTGATCAGCTCACGGAGCTAGGCACCTCAGTCAGCCCAGAGAAGGGAGCACCTTCGTATGTTGTGCATCAAGGTCCTATGTGCTAATGGCAGCCCTCTCCAATCTAAATGTCCACCAACTGGGAAGAAGAATATTGTACATCCCCTCAAAGGTAGTGTTCATGAAGACGTGTAATAAAATGGGAGCTCTTTAGATAAATACACTATAGGAAGCTGTAGTGGGTTGAATAGTGTCCCCCACCACATTCACGTCCACCAGATCCTTAGAATGTGACCTTATGTGGAAGTAGTCTTTAGAAATATAAACAAGGGAAAGAGCAAATGAAATCATATTGGCCTGGGTTGGGTCTTATATCCAGTGACCGGTGTCCTCATAATAAGAGGACAGAAACAGGGCGCCTGGGTGGCTCAGTTGGTTAAGTGACTGCCTTCAGCTCAGGTCACGATCCTGGAGTCCCTGGATCGAGTCCCGCATCGGGCTCCCTGCTCGGCGGGGAGTCTGCTTCTCCCTCTGACCATGCTCTTTCTCATTCTCTCTCTCAAATAAATAAATAAAATCTTTAAAAAAAAAAAAAAAAGAGGACAGAAACAGAGAGATGCCCCAAAACATCGAGAAGTAGGCACTGTGAAGATGAGGGCAGAGATTGGAGTGATGGGTCTACCACCAGAAGCTGGGAGACACATGGAACAGATTCTCCCTGAAAGTCTCCAGGAGAAGCTAACCCTGCCACCTGATTTTGGATTTCTGTTCTCTTGACATGTGAGAGAATAAATGTCTGTTGTTCGAAGCCAGCCAGACCATAATAATTTGTTATGGCCGCCTTAAGACACTACTGCAGAGGCCCTATGTTTAGCAGCTAGAGTACTAGCTCCAGACTCACACACAAATTACTTAATCTGTTGGAACCTCAGTGTTCATTTCTGTAACATAATGATAATAGTAGTATTTGCCTCACATTTGACAACCAAAGGAACAAATACATCTAAGGTGCTTAGCACGAGGACTGGTCTACATTAAGAATGGAATGATTTATCACTACGATGAGATGGATGGTGCTAATCCTGATCATGCCAGTGCAGCTGATGACCAGGATGATGATGATGGTGATGGTAAGGGGGAAAGAGATACAAAGCTCTATGTGTATGTGTGTGTATGTATGTGTATCATAAGATTAACACAATACTAAAATACATGACGCGTGTGCACCTGTGTATTCAACACGTGTATATTCAACCCACATCATATGCACATGAAATAATGAGAGGAAGAAACCCTGCCCTCCTATGGCAGAGATTTAAGGGCTTACAAAACACGCAATGTGATCTACTTCCCCGTCTCACTAGCACGATGGGACATGTGAATACGTGCCAATCACACGTATGCAGGGGGACCACCCAATTTTTATTGGACTTTGCATGTGTGGGAAATGTGCACATTTCAAGTCTTTAAGGGGTTAAGCTACTGGAATTTCATGGCCTGTTTGTTGTGGCGCCTGGTGTGAGTTACCCTGATTCACACACCTCTTGTTCACCTCCCTTACAGTCTTCCCCCTGCCCCACTACAAACTATCTGGGGAAGGAGAGGAAAGGGTGTTTCATTGCATTATACTAATAGGACCCAAAGGACGACCTGAATTTTATACAAGCAGACACAGTGAGTACAGACCAGGCTGCCCAGATTAAAGAAAGACAACGAACGATAGCAAGGGGAGCCCTTCTGAAGTTACAGGTAAACTTGGTGGCCAGCATCCTGGAAAAATCTTTCTATCATCTCTCTTCCAGAGAAGAGATGTACATTCTCAACTATTTTTATTGTCTTCAAAAGTCCTAGATGATGAAGGAAAGATAGCTGGTTTGGGTGGATTCTAGTAAGTCACTGCAATCAAAATTCTTATATCCTAAATGACATGATGAAGCAATCAACAAAAACAAAACAAGAAATGGCCCAAAGAGTATTTTCTAAAATCCAGCTTAACTAACCTGGAATTGAAGAACCTGAAAGGAAGACAGAGTGATTTGGCTTTTGGGGGTCTATTATTCAGCAATAATTACAGCATGATTATACCAAGATTGACAAGAACACAGAAAGCAACACTCCACTCATGTTTGGATAGCAGGAGTGAAAACTAGCAAAAACCTTCCAGAGGACCATTTGGCAATTTGTAAGAAAAGCCTTAGTAACCAGCATTCCTTTTTAGCCCAGCAATCACACTTCTAGGAATTCAGCTTAGGGAAATCACCGGCAAAATACACAATATCTGTTCTGGAATGCTTATCACATTGTACTTTATGATGGCAAAAACTATAAACTATCAAATGATCGCTGATTCGTTGAGTACATTGTCATACATACAATGGAATACTATAGAGCCATTTAAAATGGTGATTTAGAAGATGCTAAGACACTAAGCATTGAAAGGTATTCATATGGTGCTTCTAAATGAAAAAGCTACCAATTGTATATAAAGCCTCACTTTTTCAAATAAAAAAATGTATAGATATGATTAGGAAAAGATCTAACAAGACATGTAACAAAATGTTAATAGAAGCTATCCTGTTCCAGAATTACCAGGTGATTTTTAATTTTCTTTCCTTTTTTTTTTTGTTCACTATTGAAATATTATAAAATACATGAACAAAAGAGAGAAGATTTTAAAAACCACTTGATACAACCCCAAGAGTGAACTCTGATGTGAACTATGGACTTTGGGTGGTGATGATATATCTATGTAGGTTCATTGATTTTAATGTATATACCCCTCTGGTCCCAGATATTGATGGGGGAAAGGAGAGTTAGACGGTATATGGAAAATCTCTGCACTTTCTGTTTAATTTTGCTGGGAACCTAAAACTACTCTAAAGAATAAAGTCCATTAAAAACCAACCCTGCCACAGTGTCACCTCTGCCACCCTTCTATTGATCAAAATGGTCCCAGGGCCAGCCAAGATTCAAGGGCTGGAGAAATCCTCTCTATGTTTTAATGGATCCTATCAAGGTCACTTTGTATAGAATACATGTGATAAGAGTTTTTGTTGCCGCCATCTTTGGAAACTATAATCTTCCATTTATTTTTTTTTAAGATTTTATTTAGCTATTTGACCCACAGAGAGAGAGAGAGCACATGCAGGGGGAGTGGGAGAGGGAGAAGCAGGCTCCTTGCTAAGCAGGGAGTCCAGTGCAGGGCTCGATCCCAGCACCTTGGGATCAAGAACTGAGCCAAAGGCAGATGCTTAACCAGCTGAGCCACCCAGCATCCCTATAATCTTCCATTCAAAGATTTGTTTTTAAATCTCTATCAATCCTAAGAGGATTAAAGAAGGAGAAAAGGCATTGAAAAAGAGACAAATAGCACAAAGTGAAAAGATACCCCAAAAGGGCAGATATGTAATAATCACAATCCTAAAAATAGACTATACTCACTTATGAAAAGATGAAGATTATCAAAGTAAACAAATAAAGTTATATGATATTCATAAGGGATACCTCTAAAATGTAAGAACAAATAAAAGTTGAAAGAAAATGATAGAAAAATATACCTGCAAATTCTTACCTGCAGAGAGCTGAGTTAGTTATGCTAGCATGAGAATACAAAGATTTTGAGACAAAAATAAAAATCATTATTAGATGTAAAGAGAATCACTACAAAACACACACACACTTAATAGCACATGGAGATACACTGTTAATATTTTTCACAGTATTTTTTTTTTTTAGATTTTATTTATTTATTTGAGAGAGAGAGAATGAGAGAGAGAGCACGAGAGGGAAGAGGGTCAGAGGGAGAAGCAGACTCCCTGCTCAGCAGGGAGCCTATGTGGGACTCGATCCCGGGACTCCAGGATCATGACCTGAGCTGAAGGCAGTTGCTTAACCAACTGAGCCACCCAGGCACCCTTTTTCACAGTATTTTAAAGCTTCTAGTGCTCAGAGTGAGTGGAACCAAGCATCTACTTTTACAGAATGACCTTTTAGACAAGCTTGTTTTTTATTTTTTGTTCTACATTGGGAATTGGGCAGAAGAAAATGCACCTGAATATGAGCCACGATTGACTTTGGGAAGTAAAACTTGGAGTTAATTTTTCTTTCTTTCTACTTGCCTATATTTTTTTATTTTTCCATGGTGAGTACATATTATTTTTATACTAAAAAAAAAAAGTATACTTGGAGTAAAAAAGTAATAGCCTCCCAAATCTCTTCAGGTTAAGAATATTCCAGAAACCCAACAATCAAGTTAGTCCAGTGCCTTCTGCCAGTTATGACAACTGGTTTTATGGGCTTTGGTTTTTAAACGTTGTAAACTTTCTTTTTTAAAAAGATTTATTTATTTATTTGAGGAGGGTGCACGCATGCATGTGAGTGGGGGCAGGGGAGAGGGGCAGAAGAGAATCTCAAGCTGACTCCACGCCCAGTGCGGAGCCCAACGCAGGACTTGATCCCATGACCCTGAGATCATGAATTGAGCCAAAATCAAGAGTTGGACGCCTAACCGCCTGAGCCACCCAGGTGCCCCTATAAACTTCTGGTTTTTAAACTTTCAAATTTAACACTTTAAATTAACAAGCATGATTTATCTCTGTCATCAGTCAACTATCATCACCCTTGTCATCAGAGTGTTTAGTAAGCAGCTTCACTTTAAACAGGGATGGACCAGATGCAGGTCAAACACTCACTACATAGCCCTCGGGCTATCCTCTACCAGAGACGAACAGCCCAAGCGAGCTGACCGGAAGTTGGAGCAAGAAGACGGCATCAATCTTCACGGCAACATGGACGAGGCAGAACAGGAAGAAGAAATTCAGGTCATAGAAATAGAGAGCACGGCTTCGCAAACCAGAGTTAACACTAATGGAGAAGGTATTTGTACAGACAAAGACGAGATGAGGTGGAGGAAGGAGAAGTCCAGAATGGCTGGTGAAGGGCAGGCACTGAGCTTTCCATGTTTGCTCTGTGAGTGGGGTAAGGAGACTGAGGAGAGAACTCAGAGGGTAGAACAGATAGACATGATCGTTCAAGAAGCCATGGTCATAGCTGGTAGAGAAGATTTACACACGCAAACACACCCCACAACCAAGTTCTATAAGTCACCATCATTCAAATAAATTCACGTAATGTCATAAATTGGGCTTTTTTAAGTGTGTACACCAATTATTCAAACGGGATGAACAAATCATCCTGTGGTTTTGTAACATGCATCTTTAAAGAACCCCCTCACGTGACCCCTTTCTGCAAGAACAAGAGGATTTGCAGTGTCTAAAACACAAGACACTTGAGCAATCATTCAGAAACCTGCTCACACCTTCCTCACAGCTCTGGCCGATAGGATTCATGCCAGACGGAGCCCAACAGGGCTGACAAGATAAGAAAAAGAAGAAGAGAGTCCATGCCACTCCTGCAAGCTGAAGGAAGAGACCCCGACAGGGCGGAGAGATACAAGGGAAGAGCAGTGAGACCCAGCCTGTGCTGGTGCATGGAGCTCGAGGAAATGAGCCGGTCCCCTCCCCTCTTCCCCCCACTGCCACCCCCCCCCCACCGCCATGCCCAGAGCTGCAGGGACAAGGGCTACTGGGAAAAGTGACTCGCTACCAACCAGAGCTTGCATTCAGATTATCTGCCCACTCTTATGACTTTCCTTTGGGTGCAGACATTTGAAACCTCTGCTTGGTTTTCTCCCTTCACAGTTCCCTCTTGCACATGGTGTCCTATGACAACAGGATCTCAAAACTTAATGTCGTGTTTCGCCATTGAAGGACCAGACTCCTTGTTTGAGGTGACTTCCAGAGCTCCCCCTGCTCCAAAGTGAATTTTGGGAATGCTACCCAGCTTCCATTTTAATTCAAAACTCAGAACCTCCCAAACATGTCCTCCACATCAGGAGACAAATCGTGTACTGTTTCTGCATGAGGTAGTATCAGGCAAAAAGAAACACTTTCCTAGCATAGACAGGCCAACCGAAGCAAATAATGCCCTCACAAATGCAAAGAACTTAATGACTTACGGAATAGTTTCACACACATAATTCTATTCCATTCTTCAGGTCACCAATCTTCCTAACCCTTCAAGAGCCTCCAACTCCCAACCCCAGCTTAAAACACTTGAATGGTTTTCCATTCCCCCCTGGTGTAAAGACCAAAATCTTTATCATAGCATCTGATCTCTATGACTCACTTTAACTCACAACACCCTCCTCTGCACTCCAGCCACACAGACCTTCTATCAGCTCCTCAGATGGGCCACAGGACTTTTGCACATGCTTCTCCGTCTATGTTAAATGTTCCTTTCCACCACCACTACATCCTCCCCTCCCCCCCATTTTACCAGTTAATCCTCACCCTTCCTTTGGTTTTTAGCTCCACTGTTAATTCCTTAGGGAAGCTTTTCCCAATCTCCCTGACTAGGTCAAGTCCCTTTAAGATAGCTGTACATATGTTCCTTTCATAGCACTTAACCCAATTATAATTATACAATTATACAATTCGAATCCAATTATACTTATTTGTATGACTATTTGGATACTTTTTGTCTCTACCAGGAGGTTATAAAATCTATAAATTCTGTAAGGTTATAAATTCTATTTTTGCTCATCAGTCTATCTATAGTGCTAGCTCAGTTCATGACACAAATACTCTACAATATTGAATGAATAAATGAATGAATGAATGAGTGAATAATGACCTGTGGAGAGAAGATATTATATCCACATTAGAGAAATACGGAAATTGAGTCTCCAAGAGTTTAAGGGATTTGCTCAAGGAGCACAGGCATGGGGATTTGATTCTAAGGTATTTGATTCCTGATTTCATAGTCAGGAAATGCACCATTCCAAGGACTGGGGAGTCCTGCATGGCACATAATAGGTATCCAGTGCAGACTTGCAGAATGAAGAAATGAAAACAAAAATGAAAGTAGGAAAGAATCAATTGTGGACTTCAATATGATTTTCAGGGCAAAGAGAACAGTCTTGGCTGTGACATTGGACAGGTCATATCACCTCTCTAGGCCATAGCTGAGCTTTGAACTAGATGATACCCATGCTCTGCAAATCTGAGGTTCATACTCCTCCTACCTTGGGATTCTAACAGCAGACACCTACATATGGTGGCTGAGTGACTTCTCTGCCCAGACTCGACTTTATGCTTTGGAACATTTTTAATGCATTCAAAGAGCAATTATCACTATGCAACAAGAGGCAATTGCAGGAGCAATTACATCAAGGATAACATATGGCAGCTACAAAAACAATAGATAGTTATTGCAGTGTCTTAAGCATAGCAGATGGAGGAGAGTTGTTATAACTTTGACAGCTGACCCTGGGACTTCTAGATATGTTATATAGTCATACGCACGGAAGCAAAGAACATCTGGCAAAAGGATAACATGTTTTAGCTTTCCATTGGCATTGTTAAATGATTCAGAAACTAATAAAAGGGAACCATGAATGGTCTCAGTCATCCAGCCAAGAGTTAAGCAGAAACGATAAGGAAAAAGGGTCCTTCTTCTCCCAACAAATGTGGAATTCTCTAACTAGTCATAGATAATATGCTTGTATCCTGATTGTCTCTGAACCAAATGTCCCACAAAGTGACTCACAATCTGGAATTAGCTCACCTTTTCAGGTTCATCCCTCACCCCTCTCCAACAATCACCCATACTCTGGCCTCACAGGTCACTGTGTTTTCATGACTCCATGAGAAATACCCTGGCTCCTTCAGATCCAGTTCAAACATCATTTTCTCTATGAAGCCTTCCACAATGCTTCCAAGCATCCCAAGCACCACCTCCTCCAAATCCCCACAGCATTTATATATGCCCAGGTGGTAGCATTGATGGCCATCTGATTTATGTTATGATTACTTGTCTGTCTGTCTCTGTCCCCTGCCCCAATCACCCCACTAGTTGGTAAGACCCTTCAAGATAGGGACCATGCCTTATTCATACCCCCAGCACAGACCTGCATGCCTAACATTTAGAAAAGTCTATTGAGTGAAACACCAGGGGGGCAACTAATCAGTAGATGAATTAATCATTAATGGATGAATGACTCCTATTATGTCAACCCATATAATAAAGTTTATTTTTCAGGGAATTTCTAGTGACCTCACTTGAAACCCAAAGAAGTAACTCCAATGTTAAGAAGGTCAAGCACTTTGATAAGCCAATAATGGCATTCTTTGCATGTATTACCTCATTTAATCTTGAAACAATCCTATGAGGTATTATTATTCCCAGTTTCAAATGGAATAGTTGAGGTGTAAGTAGGTAAGTTACTTTCCCTAGGCCTCAGGGTTAGTAAGTGGCAGGATAGGATTTGAACTCAAGTCCTAAGACCTACACCTAACACCGGAACACCTCAGCACCAGGCTGTCTCCCATCTAATTATAGTGCCAGTCCTGTTCATTGTCTTTCATGTTTTCATTCACCTCTTATTACTTTTAATTAATGTGAATTTTACTTCCATAGAAACTTTCACGTAAGGATTTCATAATTCTATCTGATAGGCCCCTACTGCCTTTACTAACACTTATTATCAACATTTTGAGGACTCACCTTATCCCTCAATTTTAAAGTAAGAAAATTGAGACATAGAGCAGTTAAGTAACTTGGTCAAAGTCACGTAACTCATCACGATGAGAACCTAGAGTGACCCCAACCCACACTTAACTGCAGTGCCCATGCGCCATCTTGAGCTTCCATTGGGCATCCTACATCACTTGGAAGTTCGCACATCAAGGCATCTGGCACCGTTACCCATCCAGTCAATTCCTGAATCAGTCCAATTGCAGGGACAAAATTCACACATGAATGCAAATGCCTTCTTTTTGAAGAAAACAAAATCCACATTTTCTTACATATAAAACGGAACTCAAATCCATGCCAAGCTGTAGTTTTGCCTCGTCTGCTTCCTTGAGGTGGCCTCAATTCTGCTTCCATCACTAGTTTTCCAGGTGAGGAAGTGGGTTCCGGGAGGCTGAGAACCTTGTCCCAGGGTCCATGGCTGGATCCCAAGTCTGGACTCTTAACTACTCAACAGATTCTCAGTACCTGCTGCCACTATTCTAGTCTCTTCTCCCATCACCCCCTCTTCAGGATTCAGGAAAGTTATCCAGACAGAATGAAAAACAAAACAAAGTAAACAGAGTACCTGAGAAGGCCCAGTTCAGCTCCATTCAAATCTTCCATTTTTAGGACGACCATTTCTTTGTCGGTATTTGAAGAATACCTAGTCAGCAAAACAAAGAAACTCAGTCACTTCTATGTCAGAGCCTGGCCCTCCTGTGTGACCAGCAGTAGAAGCTGACTCAAAAACCCAAACCAAAACACCCTTCCGTAAGCGAGGCGCCCTGACATGGTATATCGTCTTATAAACCACATCCGGGACCTCATTCCTCTGCAAATGCTGTCAGGGTCAGAGGCATCAGGCCAGCCGACTGGAGATGACATATACATCTCTATGTCATACGCACAATCTTCTATAACATATTCGTATTTCCTACAAAAAAGATTTGCCTTTGAAATTTCTACTTGTATTAAATTTTAATGGAATCTCTTAAAAATAGCAGGGAATATGCAAAATCAAAAACATTCATGACCTGCCGCATAAAGTGGTTCTTTCATGTCCTTTCAAGGGAAATCAGGTTGTTTTCTAAAAATCAACTCCTTTGGAATCTACTAAAAAATACAGAGACAAATGTAAAATGTCAAGTGGTCAAATTGAAACTGAGATACTCGTTTACTATGCCATACTAGTCAAGTGCTTCTCTTCTGTTGCAAACCTGGTTTGGTACTTAAACAAACAAACAAACAAAAAACAACAAAAACTATCTCCCTTAGTTGTTCCATTCAATTATGCTCATTTTATTTCTTGCTCTTCGTTCCAGTTTCTTTAAACTTTTATGTCCTTTCTCTTGCCACGTTCTCCCAGACAGAGATGATTTCTTCTGAATGACATAATAAAAAGAGCTATTCATTAATTTAACAAATACATGTGGTGCACATTTTTATCTCCACTTTACAGAAGAAGCTGAGAGCCAATAGATTACGAACAAGTGAATCACCAAAGGTCACCCGACTAGGAAGTGATCAAGCTAAGATATGACCAGAGTCGTGCCTGATTCCAAAGCTGAGAGTTCTTCCACCATTCGAACTCACCCCCGAAGCTGGCAAAGAGGCCAGACTTGTGTGCGGGATGGTGCGTGCTCCCACACTCACTTTGGACTTCTGCCACTCTTAAACTCTAAGCATGTTTTACATTTATCTTAGCTTTTAATACTCCTTCAGGATCCTGCCACGTTCCTCGAGGAACAGCTGTGTTCTTAGATTTTGTCGCCGATGGCTAAAGGAAACACATGATCTGATTCCGACAATCCCCCTCACCTGGCCCTCTCTGACTCAGGATTCTGAAGATAAGAAGAGGGGCTTCGGTTGATCTGGGCACCTTCCACAATTCCTTTGTTGATAAAGATTTTGCCTGGTTTCATGTTTTTGTGTGCCATCTCGATGCTCTGTGGGTTAACGAGAGAGAGCGCGAGCAAGTTGTGAATTTAGAAATCCTGGTGGGATACAGACTTAGTCGATATAAACAGAAGGGCTCTGTGGACAGTTTCCTTTGTCTCCAAGCTGCCCCTGCCAGGGGATGAGAGCTGGAGAACCGCGCGGCCAGGGTCACTCTCAGGGTGCACAGAGGGCCTCAGGGCTGAGACACTGAATTGCCATGAACTGGGAAACTCGCGCCGATGGGCACCTGACTGTCCTGGGGCCCCTGCGTCAGGCACCGTCCTCGGGTTCAGGCGGCCAAACTGGGAGTGACTCCCCCAACACTGGAACAGGATTTGTTAACATGTAGGGCATTCCCCCCTCCATACCCACTCCGTCCCCCCACCCTCTGAGGCAAAATTTTTTGAACTTTTCTAACTCAAAACCACAATAAGCAATACATTCTTCATCACAACTTAATATGCATCGACGTCTGTCCTAAAACAAAAGTCCACAAGATGAACTACACCCTTACTATGTGTTTGGCAGCATGATATTCTCCAATCTGTTTTGTTTTAGTTCTGTTTTTTCAATGCGTATTGCAACCCAAGAGATTGATTTCACGCAGCCAGTCATAAATTGCCAGGCAGAGTCTGGAAAACATTGTTGCAAAGACATGTCTGCCTTTGCCGACTAGATCGCCGGGCTCGGGAGTGGCTTCATGAGAAAAAGCAGAGAGACACTACATCTTGAAGGCAAAGGCATGAAGAGAACATCAGAAAGGATCCCATGGGAGTAAATAATAAGCTGAGAGATGAGAAGAGAGGAATAAGAGGCACCCAAGCCAGGGACGGGAGGGGGGCTTGGGGTTCTAGAAGGAGCTCTGTGCTGTCTGCAGCTACCATTGAGGACATGAGCAATGAGGGTCTGTGTAGAAACAGGATCCTCTGTCATGCTATTTGGGAAATAGGAGGCAAGATTGCAATTATTTGTAATTACTTTTGTTTCCTTGATGGGTTCCTTTTCTAGTGACTTAGCGCAGAGAACAGACCATGTGGGGCCCTCTCGGTTATAAAGGTTATAAGTGTCCCTTTAGACAACTGCATGAGGCTTCCTGCAGAGAACTGTCCTCTCTCCATCAGTCAGTGCCTCAGAGACCAGAAGCTACATGGGAGTCAGGAACGGAGGCGAGGAAGGAGCGAAGATGCTCGGACTGAGATCCTAGAAGGACTCTCTCCATATCACAGCAAACCGATCCTAAACACTTGTAGGCGAGGGAAAGAACAGCTCCATCTGGGGCTCTGTGCCTACCTTCACGATGCCAGTGACCATGTATTCAAAAGTTCGATTGCTAAACCCTTCACTGGCGATGACAAACATGGTATACTGGAAAAATCCCGCTGGTCCCGAGTGAGTGTGAGTGCCGCTCAGGATGATGTTGTCTCTTCTGTACAGGGAACCATATTTACTCTGCAGTCTGTTCAGGACCTTCAGGAGAAAAGAAAAAAAAAGTTAGAACTAAAAAGGATAACAGAGCAACTCACTATGGAAAAGGCTCGGGTGAGGCTAATCGCTGATCGTATCAATGACGCCCTTCACTCTATGCTTGAGGGTGTCGTCATAGTAACAACATCAACACCAACAGTCCCCACCAAGGCTAACATTTTGTGGATCCTTGCTAGGTCCGAGCACAGGGTTAGGTATTACATGCCTTATGTTATTTTAAAATCTTTATAACAACTCCAAGAGGTAGGTATTTTTAATCTTCTAGCTGAGAACACTGAAGCATGCAGAAGATAAAGAATGCGCCCACTGATCTAATAAATAGCAGAGCCAAACCCAGATCCGTGTCTCCATAGAATGAGTACGCTTTCCGATTCATTATCCCACACGGAGTATTAGCGCCCGGGCACTGATTTAAGCACTAGGAATATGTGAGGTTCCTACTCTGATGAAGCTTTTATTCTAATGGGGGAGAAATAAGCAAACAAATGAGTGCGTAATGTTATATTATATCATGCAGTGGTGAACGCTATGAAGAAAAATGTTTCTGGGTAGGGAAAAAGAGAGTGATGGGTGTCAGGGAGGAAAACACCTTCTCAAAGATGTTCCCTTTCATCAGAGGCTTAAAATGAAGAGCCCAAGCTGGTCATGCAATATACGGGGAAAGGCATCCCAGGGGAAGTGAACAGAATGTGTAAAGGTCTCTTTATTTCCTCGCAGCCCAGAATGAAGAACTTGACATTGCCTGACACATAGCATCACACTTACTGGTCTGGGGGAAGCCAGCTGCCGTGACCTCAGGACACCCCGGCAGCCCTGTGGGGATGCCCGTGTGGAAACGAGCACAGTGGATGAGCCACCTCAGGCGTCGCAGACCCTTTACCTCGGGCAAGCCTTCCAACCAGCCAGCACATGATTCCAGCCTCACGGCACAGCAGGGTGTCTCACCTCAGTCCGAATCACCCAGCCCGCCCCCCTGGGATCCCCGAGCCTCAGAAAGGACAGGCCGAGCTTTGCTTTAAGCCCCTGAGTTTTCCAGATGACTTGTTGTGGAGCAAGAGATCACACACACACACACACACAGAGACCCGGGGAGTGTTCACTGTCCATGTCACAGTCCGTGAACATCTCATCATGCATGATACCTGTGCTCATGGGGCACAGACACGTCGAGAAAACGACAGGGAGAAATGCCCAATGGTGCCGAGCACCAGTTTCTGATTCTGCTTTAATCAGCTTCAATCTGAAAGTTGGTATTATCGTAGCTTCCTTGGGAAAGATGGTTTGGCTTTTTTTATGCCAAAAATCATTAAAATGGGGCGCCTGGGTGGCTCAGTCGTTAAGCGACTGCCTTCGGCTCAGGTCATGATCCTGGAGTCCCGGGATCGAGTCCCACATCGGGCTCCCTGCTTGGCGGGGAGTCTGCTTCTCCCTCTGACCCTCCTCCCTCTCGTGCTCTCTGTCTCTCATTCTCTCTCTCGCAAATAAATAAATAAAATCTTAAAAAAAAATCATTAAAATGATCTCACGGGGTGACTCTTGGTTTCAGCTCAGGTCATGATCTCAGGGTCCTGGGATCGAGCCCTGTGTCTGGCTCCAAGTTCAGCAGGGAGCCTGCTTGAAGATAATCTGCTGGCTCGCTCTCTCTCAAATAAATAAATAAATCTTAAAAAAAAAAAAAGTGTCAAACACAGAGCAACCTTCCTTAATGAAGGATACTATCACCGGGCACAATGATGAAAGCTCATTTATGGCAGGGATGGCGAATACCGCTTACTCACGTACCTAGTCCTACTTATTGGTAGTTGCTCTCAGATGCAGGGTGTTGAGAAGGATTCTGAATCTAAACCTGGGCTTAGCAAAAGAGAGGGCCTTTTTTGATTAGCAACACTGTCTACCTTGAGTATACCACAGGCAGCAGTATGCGGATAAACTGTCATGCACACGGAAACCAAAGCCCCCAGTTTGAATTCCTTGCCAGTCTCTGGGGTGTAAATACTCCCACCACAGTCAATTTCAAGCTACCAAAATCTAACAAGGAGCTCACAAAGCTCCTGAACATTTAACAATCAGCCCTCATGAGCTGGTCCAAGCCAGTTCCAACACACCCGTGATACATAAGGGAGTAGCAGGAACTTACATACCACATGCCCGACACGCAATAATACATCCATTTCAACCTCTTCTATTTTAGGTGAAGAGCTACACCACCCTCATCTACTCATGTGGCCATTGAATGGGGAAGACGCTTACAAACCATTTTGCCTTGTTAACCAATCCATGCCCCAAACATGATTGCTAGGTTACCATGTCTGTTTACACAATCCTTTGATGCCAGGCAAATGTGGAAAGGAAATAGGACATGACCAGACTAACACCCTCTGACCAAGTAGCCCACATTCTCCATCCCAAGAAGTTTCCATGTTGCTTCTGTGTGACCTAACTCCAGCCCACATGTTTCATCACTCTTATATGTTCTTCCACACAGTGACGACAACAGTCGTGAGGAAGATGCCTCTGTAAGGAGCAGGTAGAATGATCACTGAAGGGATACCACAAAACTCAACTCAAAGCTCTGTCAAAAGCTAATGTTCTCACAGTTCTGTCACCAAGACAAGAAGGTAGTGGGAAAAAAAAGAACTTCCGGTCAACTTTAGAGGTCCCCTGGCCCTACCCCCATTTTTATTCCCAGAGAACTATAATGTTAGGATTTTAGAATTCAGTGTACTTCTTTGGGTTTACTCAAGAATCAAGTCCTCAAATAGATGTGAATTACGGCTCTCACATTTTGTATCCTAACTACAGATGTTGTATCCTAAACTACGATATTGTATCCTAACAGATATTGTATTCTAAACTACACTCTCCAACGTGAAGTCCGACACATGGGACTTCAAGAAGGAAAGAAAAACTCAGTCATCTAAGGACAATGCCTGCGACTAGCCATTATAATTAGCGTGTTCCCTACGTCATGAGAGGAGAGTGTTTGAACAGAGTGAAGAAGCTGAATGTCTAGTGAACAGAGCTGAATGTCTACAGCTCACCCCTCTGTGTTCCATATCCTATTACTGATGCACCTGAGAACCTGCCATGGAAAGAGCTGGAAAGCCACTCTGTTCTCCTGTCCTGCCTCACTGCTCAGAGATCTTCCCGAACCTTCACTCCATGCTGGAAGTTTCATCAATCCTTAAAGCTTAGACTGAGAAGCTGCCTAAAACCAGGTGTTCTAAAAAAGCATAAGAGCGCCTGTTTAGCTACATTTATTTTTCACACCTTCTCTTGGATTAACCTGGGATAGGGAAGTGGGTTCATTTAAAGGCCTTCCCGCTGGGTCTCAGATCGCATGGGGAAGTAAAAATAGGAAGAGATGGAGAAATAGTGGACTGTTGACTTCACAGCCTCTGCAGCCCAACACATTAATCCTGTCTCCCCTCCACACTCCACCCCCAAAGTTCACCTTTGACTCTCCCATTTCTTCTCATGACCCCACCATTTCCCCCATCAGAAGCATGGCCGATGCTCCGGGAGAGTAGTAAGCGTAGTGAGCGTAGGTGCCGGGACCCAGATGCCTGTGTGTGCACCCAGCCCAGGCGCTTCCTGGCTGGCTAGCCGTGTGCAAGTTACTCAATCCCCTGCAACTCGCTTTCCCAACCCGTCAAATGACATAATAATAGCACCTTCCTCCTTCAGTTGTTTGGAGGATTAAATCCATTAATATAGATGAAGCAATTAGTGTGTGACTCAACGTGGGAACTATGCAAGCGTTAGCTTTTATTTCTATTCATTCCCAAATCTCATTAGCATTTAATGTGACCTCCTACTACCATGTAGTCTCGCTGCCACCCCACTGCTTTAAAACCTTTGTGCCAGGCTCACGTGGCATAGGAGAAATTTCCAGGCAAAGTTGAAATCCTTCCTGCCACCCTAGTTTCCCTTTCTAGTTCATTCAGCCTTCCAACGCATTGTAAAACCTCCATGTATTAAATCTCCTCTGTTTGAAATACCGGGTGTGAGTACCGTTTTCCCAACCGGACCCTCACCGCTAGGGTCTTGACATTAATTTAACAAAGCTGCCAATGTGAGTCCTCACCTCCAGTCTCAGTTTGCATCAAACATCACTGATTAATCATCCTAAAGCAAAATTGGCTTTGTATTACTCCTCCACTCAAAGGTTTTCAAAGAATCCCCATCACTTACAGAAGTAAAAATAAACTGGCATCCCAGGCCCTCTACAATTATGACTAACATACCTTCCAGGTGTATTCCCAATTACAGGCCCATGTGTGTCCTAATAGCAAGAATCCCTGTCCCTTCAAAGGACAGTCTACATTCCTCCCTTGTGTCTCTCTGTGGTCACACCACCTCCTCCGTTTGATAGCTCTCTCTCCCCATGTTAACCATTTAAAATTCTTCCCATTCAGATAAAGAGGATGTGGTGTGTATATATATATATATATATATATATACATATAATATAAATATGTAATATTCTATTATACATGTATATAATACACCATTACATGTGTGTATATATACATATGCATATGTATATATGTATATATATATATACACCATATATTCCATTATATTTATAATATCCCATTACACATATATAATGGAATATTACCCAGCCGTAAGAAAATGCAATCTTGCCATCTGCAACAACATGGATGGATCTAGAGAGTATAATACTCAGTGAAATAAGTCAGTCAGAGAAAGACGGATACCATATGATCTCATCCATAGGTGGAATCTAAGAAACGAAACAAATGAACACAGAGAAGAAAAGAGACAAACCAAAAAAACAGACTCCTAACTATAGACACCAAACAGAGGGTCACCAGAGGGGGAGGGGCGAAACAGGTGAAGGGGATGAAGAGCACACTCATCATGATGAGCACCAAGTCATGGAGAGAATTGCTGAATCAGTGTATGTTAGTCCTGATGATAATATAAGTGTACTGTTAACTATGCTGAGATTAAAAGAAAATAAGCTTCTGCCCATTGGAATGTCACACCCACTATGAAATTATTCCCGACTTTGCAGTCCCCTTGTGGTGGTGGTTTTAAACCACTGTGTGCCCACAGGTTCCTCACTAACCCTCCCTTTCAGAGGGCATGCTTTGCTTTCCCATCCCTGGGTGTGAACTGGACTTGGTGACTCGATTCCAATAGACAAAATGGGCTAGAAGTGCAACTTCTGAGCTGGGTTAGGAGAGGCACCATGGCTTCTCCCCTGCTCTTTCTCTTGGTCACTCACTCTGGGGAGAGCAGCTGTTTGGGGCCATGAAGGACAGTGACCATTAAATGTCCACTATTCAGGAAAGTGGGGAATGGAGGCCTTCTGTCAGCACCATGCAGGTGAATCATCTTGGAAGTGGATTAATCAAGTCTTCCAATGATGGCAGCCTCTGCCAACAGCTTGATTTCAAGACACCCTAAGCTGGAACCACCCGGCTAAGCCAGTCCTGATTTCCTGACCAACAGAATGTGAGATGATGTTTCCTGTTTTACGCCACTGTATTCTGGGGCTATTTGTTACTCGGTAATAGATAACTAACACACCACCGTACTTTACTCCAGTGAATTATAGTTACTGTGTTTTTCTATTACAGCCCTTCCTCCTCTCCCCAGCTGGGTAGTGAGCTCATAGGAAATGTGGATTACGACTCACTTGGTTATGTGCCCCACGAAGTGACCAGCAAAGTACCATGCAAAAAGTAGGTGGTCAATGCATTTTTCGCTCCACGGTAATAGAATCATGTCATTTTTAAGAATGTGGGCTCTGGTATCAGGCATACATGTGTTCAGGACCCAGCTCTACCATTTGCTAACTGTGTGAATTTGGGAAAGTTCCTCACCTTTTCTAAGACTCCATTACTTTATCCATCAAATGGGGATAACAACAGACCCACCTCATAGTTTTGTTGTAAGTGTAGGAGTGGGGAGAACATGTAATCCCTTGCTCCTTCGGTGTCCAGAGATGGGGGAGGCTTCCACTCCCCTCTTGGGAAGTGACATTGGAAAAATGTTTCGAGGCCCCCTTGTCATCCCTGTCACTAGCCACTTCACACCACAGGAAGAACAGTGTTTAATAGAGGCTGATAGAACATGACACTGAATAGTGGACATTTAATGGTCTCTGTCCTGGGTGCTCCAGACTTTCTGTTTCCTCACCTTCATTAATATGTGAGCAGACATTAAAAGAGTACATTCTCTTTCTGTGACCTGATCCCATGCAGAAAATACAACTCAGTCATGCCCAAGAAACTGGCTTAGAAAGACAGACCTGGAAGGCCATGCTCATCACCCTATTTCTCCCTCTCTCTCTGTGCATCTTACTGCTGCCTGCCCAGGACACAAGGGCTCCCTTCTGCTAAACCCAACCTTCCCCACAGAGGGGGTAACATGGTCTCAATTCGGGGAAAATCACAGAAGAGCCCGCCATAGCCTACAATAGAGCTTAAAGAGTAAATAACATTGTATTCTTTTTAAATTTTATTATGGAAATTTTCAAACACATACAAAAATAATCAGAATAGTATAATGAGACCCCCATCTCCCCCTCAACCCAACTTCAGCCATTTACGGCTGACCTCATTTCGATGTTGTGTTTTACTTCTCATCTGGCTCCTTGCATCTCAACTGTCTAAAAACTTGAGGGATTAGTAAGTAATTGGAGCTCTCAGACTTCTAACAAGGAGGATTAAATAAGAGAATGGATGTGAAGGTTGCCTCAAACATAATAAGCTTGCAAAACACATTAACAGTAACAATGACAATGAGCCATCAGCAGAACTGAGAGCAAGTTTGATCAAGATGACCAAGACTGGAATTGCTTGCTAGCCAATTATGTGAAGGCTTGTCAAGAGCTTATAATATGGAGGGCAGTAGAAACTCACTGGATGGGAAGCCAGGAGGGCTTAGTTACTGTCACATTCACTCCCAGACCTTTTCTTTTAAATCATGTCATTTCATTGTCACCTCAGCCACCTACCTCAAGCCTGAGTCGTTGGGATACCATGCCTATGTCAGTGCTGACAAACACCACTCGATTTGACCCATCGGGCTCCGCCATGATGAAAGCACGGCTGTACAGCCTCGTGAGAATGCCCCGTGCATTCTGGCCAGGCTTACCGTAGCCCATCTAGGGAGGAAGAGAGAGAGAGTCAGAGCCCGTCTGCCTCACTCCCCTGCCACCAGAACTGGATACAACCACACAAGAAGAGACCACTTAGGAAAGGCGAGGTAAAACACAATCCACAGGACACTGTGGCTCTGTGTGGGATAATAGTATGTGTTTTCAAGAAGCAAGCCAACATCAGGAAAGAGACTTTACTCTTCTGTGTGGAAAAATGCAGAGTAGCTCTCAGTTTGGCAGGAGCCATTCACAGGCCTATGGGCAAGGAAGGGGTTGGCTTGGCTCCGGAATTTTGTTACCATGTCACAGACCTTCCAGGGGTTTCTGCTCTTTTCTCCTGCCCGAGGTGCTACTGAAGGAAATACTTCCCCTACCATTACCCCACATTCCCAGAACATCCTAAATACTGAAGGCTCCCTCCCTTTGGTTGTTTGGTGTGTAATGTTCTTTCTTTTTCTGAAGAAAATGAAAACTAATGATGTACTTTATGGTGACTAACATAACATAACAAAACAACAAAACAAAATAGAATAAAATAAAATAAAATAAAAAAAGAAAATGGTTTCTTTATGATTCAGTAGTCTCTACTGAGGGCACCTCATGCTGGCTTTTACCTTGTTGACTGTCCCTCAGCTAAGTCAGGCCAAATGTACCTATCACAATCCCCCTTGTCACCTTGTCATAAAGCCTACCCATGAAGTCTTCAGAATGCCCCTTCTACTGCTTGCTTTACCCCTCATAGGAGTGTTCACTTAGGGTTCGCTTTCCAGAGCTACTTCTCAGAACAGACAGTAGGGAATAACTCCTAGACTCTAAAGATTATTTGGTAGGAAGGAGAAAATCTCATCAAACAACCTCACGTTCTAGCTTCCTAGAGAAGAGTGGATATGAATGAATACATCCACCATCACAACCAAGAAGTTGCATGCCCACATCTAATAGGCCACACCGGACCCACAGAAGCCTTTTCCTTGGCTTACACAGCGTTGGCCCAGGCTAGGTTTCCAGTTTTAACTAGAGTTGCCTATATTTTCCAACTGAGAGATTTAGAGCCTCAGGTCTCTGATCCAGAGATTTTCCAGCTTCTCTTGAAAAAACTTTAAGATAGGGCAACCCTACATGGCAATAATAGCTAAAGCCATGCACTTTCCAGTTATACCTCCCACTTCCCACTGTCCCCCAAACTGAGGATTCACTAGACACTTATCAGCTTACACTGGCCTGCTTCCATCATTTATGGTACCCTGTTGTCTGTGAGTTTGCCAGGCCTGCCACTTCCATTCATAAAAAATGGCCAATTGGCTTTACATAGGAGTTGCAGTTGAACACATGGTCCCTCTTTATAGTACAATAATCATAGTGTTAGACAGCAGTGAAATCAATGACAAAGTGAGAAAAAGAAGAAGAAGAAGAAGAAGGAGGAGGAGGAGAAGGAGAAAATGATGATGATGTAATAGTCAGGAATAAGTGTAGGATGCGAGTAATAACAATACTTGCTTCATTCTCTCCAAGGAGCCCATGATTTACCTACCAAGTTGATATCTGCTACTTGTCCTGTGCAGTCAGCTCGCCCAACACCAATACGGTAGCCACTAAAGTTCTGAAAGAGAGGAGGCTCTGGGGTGCTAATCACAGGAGGTGCCTGGGTGGTTGTAGAGCCACTGGTGATTGTCGAGCCTTGACTGGCTGTGGAGCTCTGGGTGGACGGAAAACTGGAATCTAAAAACAGAATAAAATATTTAAGGAACAACATTTCAGTCCACTTATTTGTTGGCATCAATTAGAACACACAGGTTCAGGTTCCTAAGAAAAAATCTTTATATATTCTCTTATATTTAAAATATATGGTAAAGGGGCACCTGGGTGGCTAAGTTGGTTGAGCGTCTGCCTTCGGCTCAGGTCATGATCCCAGGGTCCTGGGATGGAGTCCGACATCATGTTTCCAGCTCAGTAGGGAATCTGCTTCTCCCTCTCCCTCTGCCCCTACCCCCACCCTGCTCATGCTCGCTCTCAAATAAATAAATAAAAATTTTTTTAATTAAATAAATAAATAAAATATATGGTAAGAAACATCTCAGGAACTTGTTGAATATAATAATCCTAAGGAGGATCTTTCTCTTGACTTAGAGATATTTCCACCTAATATTCAAGGTCTGCGTTAAACGTCCTTCAACTTCTCATCACAAGCCATTCCTTGTCAAACTCATGACCCTGAACTCACTCCCCCTGCATGTCTCCTCTAGCCAAACAAGCCAGGTTCCAGGTTTCCTGGCACACAGCCTACTAAATCTAGCCTCCAGGGATTTGTCTCCACCCTTCTCTCCATCCAGAGACCTTATTGCTCTCTGGTCCACCAACCAAGCTCCACAACTCCCTTCTGAGTTGGTTCATTTCCATCACACTCAGCGGCAGCTCAACCCTCACATCCAGGGATGCCACCCCCACTGTGTCTACACTGCCCCCTCTTCCCCAACCTTCTCAAATCTTTTATTCAGGATGCAAACTAGATCACTGTATGCTCTACATAGTTCCACCTTATTTTGCTCATATCACCATCTGCGTATGTGCGTGTACACACACATGTCCTATGTGATCACACACACACACACACACACACACAAGTATGAAGGGAGGCAGAATGGCATAGAGTCTACACGAGCAGGTACCAGAACCAAACAGCCTGGGTTTGAAAACTGACTCTACCCCCTACTAGCTGAACAAACCACTTACCCTGTTCTACCCCGATTATTCCCATCTATACAATGGAGGTAATAGTACTCTACTCCCTAGGGTTGTTTTGAACAATAAATATGTTCATACATATTAAAAATTTAGAATAATTGTCGGCATATAGCTTTGGTTCTATTTACATATTGAGATATCCTATATATGCTTGTTATTTGTTTGTTTGTTTCCACCCCAGACAACAGCCAGGGTTGCCCAGGTGACAGATGTCACTGTCACAGGTATTAGTGCTCAGACAGTACTTAGTCAAGAGATTGGCTGCTGACTCCCCTGGGATCCTAGAATTTGGGGGCCAAAGAAAAGCTAGAGATCACCTAGACTGATCTCGTCAGTTTTATATATAAGAAAACTGAAACCCAGAGAAGTGATGTAACCACAATTTCGGGGACAACACGAGATGAACCAGGTGCATAGCCCAGATCCTCTGACTCAGAATCTGATGCTCTTTCATTCATATTCGACGTGTCATTAGAATCCATATTTTCTCGGGCGCCTGGGTGGCTCAGTTGGTTGGGCGACTGCCTTCGGCTCAGGTCATGATCCTGGAGTCCCGGGATCGAGTCCCGCATCGGGCTCCCTGCTCGGCGGGGGGTCTGCTTCTCCCTCTGACCCTCTTCCCTCTCGTGCTCTCTGTCTCTCATTCTCTCTCTCTCAAATAAATAAATAAAATCTTAAAAAAAAAAAAAAAAAAGAATCCATATTTTCTCAACCGTAAGCCTCCATTTTCTATAAGACATCAATTATTGCCAGGAAGGAGGCAGGCTCTTTTACCTTATTTTTTTATTTTATTTTATTTTTTTAAAGATTTTATTTATTTATTTGACAGAGAGAGAGATAGTGAGAGCAGGAACACAAGCAGGGGGAGTGGGAGAGCGAGAAGCAGGCTTCCCGCCGAGCAGGGAGCCCGATGCGGGACTCGATCCCAGGACCCCGGGACCATGACCCGAGCTGAAGGCAGACGCCCAACGACTGAGCCACCCAGGCGCCCCTCTTTTACCTTATTGATACCCACGTAGGAATGGGGTGCCAACTAAAGCCAAACCAGGTCCAATGGCCAAGGGTGATTTCTTTAGGACCTCAGAGTCGCAGGTTCTATATCCGGAAAATGGTACTAAAACTAGCACCTACCTTTATAGAAGCTTTATGAGAATTAAGAGGGAAAAGTATGTAGACCCTTGACCATAGCACTTGACACAAAGCAACCTCTCAACAAACAGCAACTCCTACTATGAGAATAGTTACCGTAACTGTTGATCACCTCCCTGAGTCTCAGCCTCTGGATTCTCTAACTTTAAGAGCTAAAACTAAGGACGTCCTATGGATCCTTTCCTTTCTAGCAGTCCATGCCCCTGCTCTGCACACTGCTGGCACAGAGGATCTCTGTCCCTCTTGAGGGAATTCAAAGCGCAGGGTCATGGTAGAGAATACATTGGAAAGAAGAGGCCCACAAGAGAGAAAACTGAGGTGAAAAAAATCGGGCTCCTTCTCTGTTTCATCTAAAGCCAGCCCTCTCTTTACTTCAGTCAAAGCCTTCAACCCCCACCTGTCTTCTCTACTTGTTTACCAGTATATGACCCACCACCAAAGTAGGGCTCCATCAAAGACCCAGGGGGCCAGTATTGCCTGTAATGTAGCCTACATTGTTTTCCAAGACTAAATTTATTCCCAACATTAAAAAAAATATCAGGAGATGCCTAAATCATCCATTCCAGCTTCTCTTGAAAACCCTGGAGATCTGCGTCCATGTGACACCATGACAACCCACACCCCTCAAGAGGGGCTGTGGACCCTGCTCCCCCCACCCAGACCACCTCCCCACTCCACCTCATTTACAGAACTTGAGTGGCCCTCTTAAGAATCTGAGTTCAATGCCCCCTTCTCTAAAGCTTTCCACAGACTAATTGATATTCAGTGGGTCTTTCATTCTCCTTTTGTCCCCAAGGGAAGATGATGCCTGAGAAAAGGCAAAGAGAAAGAGAGGAGACTTGGGGCAAATGTTCACATTACTTGGCCTTGAAGAATTCTGAACTGGCCTTAGGTCAGTGGAAAAGTGAAAGATGAATAAGCGCATGTCAGAATGCCTGTCAACCAGCTATTTGTGGGCAAAGGTAAGCTTGATAAAAATTGCTATCGATGCAGAAAGGGCAATTAATGTAAAGGTTAGATGGCCATCCCAGGCAGCTTAAGTATACATTCAACTGTGCTGTTATCGGCATTATCAGCAGACACTGTTCTTTGCCTTGGCGTCCCCGGTGATCAAGAAATTTCCCACAGGCTAGGAAGAGCATCCAAGAGGGCCCCTGACGACTTGCCTTTGTGATTTTCAATGGTCCCACTGGTGATAAACAGGAGGCTGAGAAGGGCTACCGTGACAGCGGTCATCAATACTAGGATGAAGATCAGGAATATCTCTAACGTGGAGAAGGTGCGTTTGGCCATCTCTCCTGAGGAAAAGCAGAAATGGAAGAGGTGGAAGAAGACAGAATCGCAAATTAAAACATATATGCTTTGAGCTGCCCAAGCCTAAGGTGTCTTAGTTCTTCCATACGAATAGACTATACCAGGGACAGCAAGTACAGAGCATACCTGCCACTGCTTCCCTATCCCAAGCCGTGGCAGACAAGACCAATCAATTACAGCACTCTTTGGTGAGCTCACATGTGGTTTCCAAACCCTTCTTGGTACAGTGCTCATTCTAAAAGCCACCACCCATCATTTGGCATTAGCAAGGAAGCCAAAATCTATTTGTATTCCTTGGCTGCATCATACTGCTTTCATTTATGGTGATGATGTTATCTGTACACAGGTCGAGGTTGGAGCACTTCTGTCAATAGGGATGATTGTGCTTGGTTAAGGCTGTCCTCTATGGCCATGGCCTAAGGAAAACTACCTTGTCTACAAGGAAGTGCAACACACAATTTTGGCCTTTAAACTCCATTTGCTAACCTCCAGTTAATATCTAATGAGAAAACAATATGGAAGAGGGGGTGGCATCTCTGGTCTCAAGCCAGGCATTAAGAAAATCTCCCTCTTCCATCACCAGAAGGATCCCACATATTTTGCAGACACTGTCAGAGGATGAGGACAAAGACAATGCCCCTGTGTTCTACAAAAGCAGAAAATATCCTTACAGATTCCTTTAGATATTTCAGGAGTAGGAGTCATCATCACTCAGAGAGACTATAGATGCTAAAAATCCACATAATGTACCAGGAGAAGGTATAACATGGTAGTTAAAAATTGGATTCTGCCTTCTGACTCCAGAGTCCAAATCTCATTTCTGCCACTTACTGGGCAACCTTGGGAAATCCTCCCCAACACTGAGCCTCAGTTTCCCTATCTGTAAATAAGGATGTGATGATGATGATAATTTTAGTACCCATCTTATAGAGTTCTTATAAAAATGAGATGACAGTAATAATTCTTTCATCCCATAGAACACAGTAGGTGTTCAAAATGTTTGCATTTATCACTAGGTTGCAAAACAGCAGGCTCTGCTCCTCACTGTCCTCAAAGGGAGTTTATATGAAACAAGCATTAAAGAATTATTGGAATCACAGGTAGGAACTTCAGAGCCCATTTTCTTAACCCATACTTCAGGATGCCAGAACAATGAGATGGGATTAGAGTCCTAGGGCTTGCCTCCAAGATGGGTAATATGGGGCTCAGATGCTACTACCCCCAAGAGTTATAAATTGGCTACAAACAAGTGTGCTTAGCCTGGCCCAATTTTTTGTTTCAATTTGATTTAGTTGACAAGATAGAAGAGCTTACAGTTCATCTGTAAAAAGAGAGTCTCCATTTACAAATCTAAACCCTCAAGTTTTCTTTCAAAACATTTCATAAACCATGACAACACTGAGTCAGCATTCCTACATGCCAGGAGTCTGGTAGAACTTAGTAGCTGCTGTTCCTTTAGATGGGGCATGCATTCTCCACCCACCACAGACTCTTCCCCGTGGATCTTTTCCATCTAAGTTACTACCTGGTCTTTGCAGTTATTTTATTTTGCAATCCCTGGACCACAGTTTAAAAATCAGTCTAACAGCAAACACTTCAGAGGTAGGGCTAAACTGGAAGGGGACAAAGAGACTGGCACATCTTCCCAAATTTCTTGGATATTAGCACACTTTCCTCATCCATTTATCACCATCATAATCGCTCTTACCACTACCATCAAGGACAACTTCAAATTTAAAGCAAATTAGTTCCAATCTTGGTCCCAATATTCACTGTCAGCCCCCAGGAGTCAGGAAACACATCTAAGATATGCTTCTGAAATTTTGATGATCCAGCTAAGTTTACCAGTCCTGCACCAAGAGAACAACTAAACATGGCTGACCAACAGGCGGACCTCCCCACCCCAGAGCATCTACATACACACTGCATGTGTAAATGTGGCCACATGGTAGGAGCCTATGCAATGAATAGACATGCTTCAAAATCATACTGTTCTTCTTCTCTCTCTCTCTCTCTTTTTTGCTAGTTTTATTCTGTTGAATTGATTACCACGATCAACCTTTTACACGAGTCAATAATGGCACTTGATTTCACATTAGCATGTCCAGCTCTAACTCGGATTTCAATGATGTACTTCATGGCTTTCACTGCTATGTTGCCAGAATTACTGCCAACATTATTACTATTCTTTTTTAGCCAGCTAGCACTATTTATTTTTCACTGATGACTACAGTCTGAATTCAAATGTTAAAGCAAATGCCTAGTCTGCCTTCAGAATGCACCACGGAGAGCTGGGCTAATGGTTATAACTTAAAAGATTTGACACTTCCCACTGGTTCTCACTTCATCTGGCAAAATTCTGCAAGCTCAGTGATGAGGTTCTATGACACAATGGCAAGCCACTTGCCACATCTCTACCACACTGAGGTCTCTGTTTTTCAAGACTGTGAGAGTAAGAGGTAATAATTTCGCAAAGTGGGTTTCCAAAGCTAAGAAAATGGAGCGAAGCTTTTAGGATTTCATCAAGATCTCTAAGACAAAGGGATGATTCAAGATCCCTCCCTCCCTCTCCAAGAAAATACAAGTATTCTTACCTGATTTAAACAATCAAAAGAAATTCTGCATCCCAGTAAAGCAAATGACAGTCCAGAATCTCGTTCCTTTCACCTTTCACGTTGCTCAGCCAAGATTTCTCAGCACATTCTGAAACCTACTGACGAAAGACATTCACAGTCATGCCCTAGAGAGTAGAGTTCTCATTAGCATACCATTACATATCATCTGTAATGGGCTTGGTGCAGGATGAGATTAAAGTGTATTGATAACAAGAGCCTTCTACGCAAACTCTCCCCTGGGACAGACTGATACTGAGGGAGAAGTTGCAGAAGATCTGCGGGGCTGAAGGTCATTGATTTCAGCCTTTACACACCTCTCCAGCACAACAAGTTCTGTGCAAGGTCTATAGCCTGGATCACCAAAAAAGAGCACCTGCTTTATTTGCCACTGGTCACTCAACCAGCAATCAAGAGGGACTGATGCTGCATGCTGGATATTAGTGCGGGCTATGGCTCACATTGAGCTATGTGTACACCAATTTCAGATGAGAAAAGTGATTTTAACTCTTAGGTTCTTGTGCATAAAAAGAATGCAAAGTTTTAGATGAACTAAGAATATGAATAATGCATATACAACAGGGCAAGAATGCTGTGCAACCATTAAATAATTTAATGACCTAAAAATTACTATATTAAATTAAGTTTAAAAGACATTATAATCCTGTTTTTTAAAGCAGACATTACTTATATATGTGTGGTCATGAAGACTATAAGAAATCACAGCAAAATATTAAGAAGTAATCTGGTGATAAGATTATGGGTGAGTTTTGTTTTCATCTTTTCAATCCTTGGTACTTTCTGAAAGAGCCATGCGTGTTTTTGTAATGGGGAAGATAAAATGTTTTACCTCCTCCTGAAGAATGTATACTGTATAACAGCATGAAGTTAAACAACGGCGCACAAGAGACAAAGAGAGGAAGAAATAGGCTCATTCACACCTTTTTTCCCTACTAAATCCAAGCTTTCCAGGAAGCATTTTGAAGAACACATAGGGCACTTCATTCCTTGCAGAGTTAAAAGAGACCAGCCCCCAAAGTCCAATGGAAATATTAGAGATATAAGTGCCTCCCAATACTGCATTTAGTAATGTGGCTTAGCTACTTTCCTGCATCAGAGGGGGAAGCAGATTAAATTATGCCTATTAAACCAGTTTGGGTTTTTGTGGGGGTTTTTTTGTATGCATTTATATTAGACTTCTTGGTATTAAGGAACAGAGGCCAAATCCAGCTAACTTAAGCAGTGGAGGAAAGAGAGAAAAGTAAATTCACTGGAAGGCAGCAAAAGAAGTTGAAGATGCAGGCTCTGGAAGGCCAAAGATCAGGGCAGATCTAGGGGGCAAGAGGGACTGCCATGGAGATGGATGCCCTCCAACTGCTTTAGGTCTTTCTGTCGTGCCACTCAGGATTCAGTTCCTGAGAGACAGCATCTGACTGGCCCAGCTCAGAGCATAGACATATCCCTTCCTTCGAGGAGATCCTTAAACAGACCTCTCAACAAGACCATCCCCAAAGAGGGAAGAGTAATTCTCCAGAATGAAATCAAGGCAGATAAAAACCACAGACACCCACTAGTGACTTGCCATCAGATTTCCGTCTCCTGCCCTTCTCCTTTACAGTGGGTCCCCAAACGCACCCACTGCCCCCTCCAGACCTCTCCACCACTTCCCTCCCCTAGAAAAGGAGCCCTGCCATGCTCATTCACACCAAGACTTAGGAGGCGACCGCAGTCTATTCTGGTAAGATCATAAGTAGATCATATATCATTGCCCCCAGACAGCATTTGAAGAACCATCCCTAAATACCAAAGGGTGAGAATCAAGGGACTGTCAAGCACTGTGGCAGAGCCAGTGGAGAAGTGATGTTGGGCCAAGGGGGCCTGCAGTACCCATCGGAACAGCTGGCTCCTATAGCTAGGAGTGAGACCACCCAGGGGTGAGGGGAAGATAGAATCACTGCAAGTAGTTGAACTTCTACATCTATTTGATTCTGTCTGAATGGCCCTCAGATAAATCTTGTTTGCCAGGATAAGGATGATTTTCCTACTCTACCCGCTACCCCAAGACATGTGCTCATACCCCACCCATTTTACAGATGAGGAAACACACACAGAAGGGTGATATGGCTTCCAGAACAGGAAAGGATGGTTAAAAGTGAGCGTGGTTGAGCAATACTTATTGCAGGATGTGAGACCAAGTCTCCAGATTCCTAGACAAGAGCTCTTGCCTCTCACCAAATTCTTCCTGTGCCGCCTTGACCAGGGCTCTGGCATCACAGCCTCTGGGGATAAGCAAGTCCAAGTGGTCCCTCCTCATTAGCAGATGATGAAGCAAATGATGTCCCTCTGTCTCTGAACACCCTATCACAGAGGGAGAAACTATCCAGCAGAAGGCAGAGGCAGCCAGAGAGAAACACATGAACTGTACTCAACCCCCCAAAAAAATGCTTCTCTCAAAACCTCAATTCATAAACCATTAACCAATGGTCATTAGCACCACAGGATCTTTTACTTACGCCTACAGGGTAGGGGCCTTCAAAGGCTTGATCCTGACTTCCTATGTTCCATGCTAATTGCCACATCCTTTTTCATTCTTTGCTCCTTAGAATGATTGAAGAATAAATTACTTTTAAAAAACATACGTTATTTCATAGAGCATCCAGATTGTGGTCTCTTTATACTGTTTCTTGCTAAAAGGAACAAGAGATCCTTGAAGAAATGGCTGGTTCTGGGTCTGGGACAAGAAATATATGAATGAAACCTGCAACATGTTTTCATACCAGGAATCAAGGAAGCCAAGGTGATGATCAAGAAGATTAGAACTGTGTAAAAAGAACTAGAGGTTCTCTCTCAAATAGGTCAATTTGGGCATCAATTTTTTAAAAAAATAATTGCAGTAGATTGACACAAACCAAATTTGCTTAAATCCGTGATGTTTTAATGATACTAAAAATAAAAAACACCTCATTGATTACCTGTAAAAGATGCTACTTTTAAAATAACAAATTCCAATTTGCTTTTCTGGAAAGTGATTTAAAAAGGGGGGGGCCGAGATCAAGAATGTACTCTACTTTTCCTATATAAAGGTATCTTGGGAAAGCCAAATCATTAATGAGGGATAGTTTCTCACACTTGAAATATTCCAGCCAATAATTGAGGAAAGAATGACACACCACGAATCTACATGCTTTGCAACCCCTAGTGAAATGATGGAACTAGGCAATGGTCATTGACTGGATGCTTATATAAGTCACCAAAAGAGAGACAAATGAATATTGCAAGTCTCTGAATGATGTGTTCTTCTCAAGTACTCTTACCAAAATAGTAACACTAAATTGGATCAGCCTCTAGATCTGAGTGCCTGTTTATGGAATATACAAGAAACAACCAACTATGTTAGAGGACAATATGGGGATACAGTAAGCCTAGTCCAGACTGTGAAAGACTCTAGGACAAATGACCCCGTTTCTTTAACAAAGAAATTAGAAGTGGAGAGGGAGAGAGAGGATGAGGAGCAAGAGGATGAGAAGGAGGAGGGGAAGGAAACATGAGGAGGAGCAGAATGGAGAAGAGAGAGAGAAACAAGGGAGGGGAGGGCAGGGGAAGAGAGTGGCCAAGGCAGGGGAGGGGAGGAGAATAAAGGAGAAGAAACTGTAGATTAAAAGAGGCTGAGGAGACGTGCCAATCAACTTATGCTGTAAGACCCAAACCCTCATTATTTAGAACTTTTTTTGAAAACTAGGAGATAATTGCAAAGATTTGAACACTGACTAGATATTTGATGATCTTAAGGCGTTATTGTTAAAAATGTTACCGCGCTAATGGTATTCTAGTCAGACCCTTTAAGCAGTCCTTATCTTTCAGACACATCCTGAAACAGATTCTCTAAAAAAAGAAATAATACCAAAAGTGCAAAAATTGGATGGATGGATGGACAGGTAGGTGGATGGATGGATGGTGGATGAGTGGATGAATGAATGGGTGGATGGATGGATGGGTAGGTGGATGGATGGATGGTGGATGGGTGGACGAAGAATGGGTGGATGGATGGATACATGTATGGATGGATAAATGGATGAGTGATAGACAGATAAAGGGATAGGTGGGAGGCTAGATGGATGGGAAATAAGCTTTGCTCTTTAGTACGCAAGTGGAGGGAAGAGTTGTGGTTTAAAGCACTACTGGCTTTGTAGAGGGCTTCCCTCAATACCCTTTCTAAACCCAGCAGGCATGCCAATGCCAGACGCTCATTTGCCTAGAGTTCCAGATGCAGTTTCAGTTCTGCCTTTCAGATGCACTAGTGTGAGACTTTGATTCAGAACTGAGCCACATGGGAAGAGACACTCTGTATTGCACATTTGTCTTGTTGGTTTGGATTGTGGCAACATGACTCTGAGACAGCAGTATGGTGGCTTCTTCTAGATGCTGTAGCCACTTCCTTATTCCAGGACCACTACCAAAGCAGCCTATCCCTCAGCAGATCAGGTCTGTATTTAAGTTGGAGAATTTTTTCTGGAAGTTCAACCCCAATTCTCTGTTTTGAGCCTTCACAATGATTGGGCAAGTTATCTCTATCCCCTAATAAATCCTGTTCCTCTTGAGCTAGCTGGAGTTGATTCTGTTACCTCCAACTTAAGAACCTGTCCAAGCTAAATCTCATGAAAGTGAGCATTGGGCCTCCCTTTGGAGAATATATGCATTCTAATCACTGGACACTGTATGCCAAGCTGCCTCTGGGAACATTTTTAAAGTTAAAAGTGATGGGCACTCTGACCCAATGAATTCTTCATTAAGTCAGAAAAGAAATTAGTTTTAAGTACACAGGGCTGCCATATTGGTACCTTACCACCTCATACGTTTTGCCAAGTAATGAAAAATCCCTTTGAACTTCAAAGCAGTCCCATTATCAGATGACTATTTATAGATTCACCTTTACACTTGTCTCTGTTGAATCTTGACCTCAAACCTCAAGCGATAGAAAAGAGGTCCCTTCTGTTCTAAGCTAGAGAGACTGTTTCCTATTAAACCCCTTTTGCACCTGTCGTATGTTGAACTTGAAATTGAGACTAATGGATGTACTTCACCGCAGTGGAGAGCCCAG